GGGGGGGGGGGGGGGGAGCCAGAGAAGCAATGGGTCCTTGTGTGTGATTCTTGCCAACGGAAATCTGGGTCATGTTCAGAAATTCCAGAAAGCTGGCACCGGCCGCCCAGTTAACACGGGTCTGGAGCGCGGCTTATCTGGAACCGGGATGTTTTATCTCCTCGACTGGCTCCCCACATCAGCTGGCGGACAAACAGCATTCGAGAGCATTTGGCTTTTTCTTTAAAATGAAAATCAGCGAAACACAGTGCATGCTATGTAGCCCCGGGCGCCTCTGAGCGGGAGTGGCCGGAGCCCCAGCCGGAGGGTCCTTGGGTCATCGCGGCGGCGGCTGAGGCAGCAAGGCGGGGGGGGGGGGGGGGGGGCCTCCGGCTCACCGATGCACTGATCACAAAAGCAGGGTGGCACCGCTCACATGACGGGCGCGGGGAGAGGCCGCGGGCTTTGAGAGCAGCCCCAGTCTACGCACAGTTGGCTCCCAGCTGACAGGCAGAATATGGGGTGGGCTTTGTCACCAGCATGCTGGGTCTGGCCTGCCCAGCTGTGCTTGGGAGCCGGCAGTGCCCAGAGGCCCGCCACCGCTCCCCGGGTCCGAGCCGCTCCAGAGCCCAGGGGCCGGGCAGCCCTGCTCCCCTTCCTCCCATCCGAGAAGGTTATATAATGAGCGGACCACTGCCGAAGTCGGAGGGAAAATGAAGTCTTTGTTAAATGCCTTCAGCAAGAAGGAAGGTAAGGAACGAGCTGTAGGGTGCGTGGCGCACAGGAATGAGCAGTTTCTTACTGATTCTCCCGGGGAGCTGGGGCCTCCCTTTCCTCCTAAAATTGCTGGTTGTTCATCCCCGTCATGGAAGGGAATAATTACTTCTGGTGGGCGATAGGGCTTTGTTGTAGTTGGTCTGGAATTTTAACCCACTTGAAGGTGCCGGGGGTTTTTTTGTTGTTGTTGTCGTTGTTTTCCTAAGTCTCCAGCCCCTTTGCAGAATTGTGGCATGTGCACCCCTGGTGTTTCCAGAGGGCAGTTTAGGAACTAAGTCCTGGGGAAAATAGGAAGTTTGGCTCTAGTCTGTCCGCTACCTGGAGCACATGCTGAGCACTTGGGCAGGAGTAAGGAAGGTCAGGACACTGCTGGCCGCCCCGGCCGGGTGGACGCTTTCAAAACCACCGCTCGGCTGTCCTTGGCCGTCCCCGGGTTGCAGTTTCAGGGAGCGGATGGGAAATGCAGCGCGGTAGACTTTAAAAGTGCATCTGCTTTTTGCATACCTTGTGTGATTTGTATTGTGGAAAAGAAACGTGTAAGTAAATGCATGGAAGACAACTAAGAAAATATCCACCCACTTAGAATTTGCAGATTGCCTGAAAGAAGGAAACAGTTGGGTGGAATATTAATTATTTTCAGACAGGAAGAGAGTTATTTCTAACCCTTCTCACACAAATACCCCCAACATTTCCACGGCTGGTTCCAGTTAGTTTGTCAGACAGGGAGCTCTTGTTTTATGAAATCAGGAGGTTTATGAAGACGTGAGTTTAGAGGGATTAAAAAGATAAAGCCATAAGATAAACATGGAAGAAATTTCCAATTATACCTTGGTGTTTAAGCGAGAGATCATTTTCATTAGAATGTTCACCCTCATGTCACCTAGGCGATTCCATCCGAGTAACTCGATGGATCCTCAGGCAGAATGTATTTGCAAAAGTCCCAGCTCTTTCATCCCTTAATCTTCCAAGGGCAGCTGCCCCATGTGAATTGTCACCACTCTCAGAAAGACCTCTTCTGCCTGGTTCTCGGGAATGTTTAGAAAAAACAGACTCTGCCTGTGCTCGTTTGCTTATATGATGAACCCAGATTCGCCTTCTGGGACTTCGGTCTTTGTAATCTGTGCACAGCATGAGGGTTTCAGTTGGGGGTACGGTGTTTTGTTCGTTGTGCTCTCTTCTACCCTCGATTTTTCTTCCCTTGTAAGTCTTTCTTAGCCGCTGGCAGGACTCCCCCCGCCCCCCCAAGTTCCATCACTTTCTGTCAAGGGCGTTAGTACTGTACGCACCCGGTTACATTGGTCAGAAAAATAGAATTGACTGTAGGTAGGGTCAGGGAAGCTGGGAGGCTCGGCCCAAGTTCGCGTCATGGAGTGTGGGCGTTTCCTGGTCTTGGGGTGTCCCCTTTGAGCTGGGGTGACCCCTCCCCCCTCCCCCCGGCCCCCCCGGGCCTGTCCTTGGGTGGGGGGCAAGGAGGACGAGCCAGGAACC